GACGGCCCAAGAAGCCCCTGAGGGCACACCCATGCGGCCCAAGAGGGTCCCAAGACGACCCAAGAGGCTCCCAAAACAGCTTAAGTGGGCCCCAAGACGACCCCAAAGATACCCCAGGAGGGGAACACGAGCCGACATGTCGAGCCTTCCGCCCCAAGATGACCCCCGAGACCGCCAGCAGGCTCCCAAGAGCCCCCCTGAACCTCCAGGAGGCTCTCAAGAGGCCCCACGAGGGCTCCAAGAGCCTCCCAAGAAAGACCCAAGATGTCAAACATTGGTTTTCCTTCGGTTTGGGAATAGTTGGAGCGCTCTCGCCTTCGCGGGCTTCCGACGCTCCAAGTCGGCTCGAGTGGCTAGTGGCTAAACAAAAATATCGTCCGAGACGGTCTCAGAGGCCCCCAAGATAGCCCAAGAGGGGCCTTGAAGAAGGGGAACACCACCCTACATTTCGAGCCCTCCGCCCCAAGATGACCCCCAGGACCGCCAGCAGGCCTCAAGAGCCACCCCCCAGAGCCTCCAGCAAACCCCCCAAAAAGGCCCAATTCAGGGCTCAAGAAGTCCCCAAGAATTCTTCGAGAGGCTTCCAACACTTCCCATAGCCGCCTGTAAGGGAGACCCCAAGTTTCCCTTCGGTCGCCTGTCGCCAATCTATCGGCGATGTACCGCCGAATCCAGGTCGTTGCCCCCCCAATGAGTAAGTGCCTGATAGCCGCCGACATGTGAGTTCCAATCCGTAGTCCCATCATCCCGACCGCTTCTACGGGGGTAGTTTCCGTCCCTTACCTTTTGGTGGGAGCGGGCGGCGCGCCCTCGGATCCGGACTTCCCTGGGAGCATCGCCACGAGCTTTCCAGGAGGGAGAGCCTCCGGCGGAGGAGGGCCCGGGTGCAACGCCCACTCCTGGACTCGCCCTGGCACTCTGCGCCTTCGGTCAGACTGCGGGTCGGGCGGAATGCGGTGCTCCGGGCGAGGCTGGGACAGCGTGATGCATCGTCCCAGAGCGTTCCGGAACGTTGTCAGAGCGTCCTGGAGCGCTCCAGAGCGGCCGCACCGTCCGATACATCCATTCTCCGGGCCCGATAGATCTCAGAGATCTCCGATTATTCCGATCCGAGCTTGTCCGTGTCCTGGCGTTGTCTTAGGGATGGGGACTGCGTGCAGCTGGTTTCGGCCCCGCCGCCCGGCGCTTGCTTCAATACGCTGGCCCCCCCAGAGCTGGGAGGCGCCTGGAGAACCAGCTCCGTGAGCCGATGCGCGAACCCCTCCCTTGACTGCCCCCACCTGTCGTCCGACCCGATCAGAGTGCAATCCGGGAGAGGTCCAGGGCTCGATGTTGAGGACGAGCGTCTCTCGCCATGAGCGGGTCTTGCAGGAAACGAGTTTTGAGTTTGCTCGCCGCTGGCGGCTTCCAGGGGTCTCCCAGGGCACCAGGTCCGTCAAAAAACAGTTCAGGATGACGAACTGTTCCTGAGGGATCTGTTGTCGATTGTTTCTCATTCTGCATGCGCGTTTGTTTCGTAGAGGCATTGCCTTAGCCACGCGGTTGTCAGATTGTGATGGTCGTGGTAGAGCCACAGCTATGCGGTGGCGACAGCAATTATGAATCCAGCATGTGGCTTCGACGGCTTTCACGGTGGTGGCGCGCTGCCTCTAGCATGTTCTGACGGCGTGGCTTCACCGCTATAATCCTCGAGGGTGAGGGGATAACCAACTGCTCCCTGCGCGAACCCAGTCAGTGGTAGCACACTGCTGAAGGCATATATATATATATATATACATACATATTAATATATGTGTACATACACTGTAACATGTATATATGAGTTTCCTTGAGTCGCAAGGCAATGCAAACAACATCATAATAATGTACCTCAAAGCATTGCGGTGCAGAGCAAAGGACCGGCTAGCCTATCGTGGCATCGCAGCGTTGCATGACATGACATGTCACGGCACAGCACGGCAGAGCTAAGCGTGTCAGTGCATATCACAGCATGGTTCCGCATGCCATATGACTGCATTCCATAGCATTGCATAGCTGAGCCTAGCGCTGCACGTCATGACGTAACATTGCCTAGCATTGCATTGCATATCATGACGCATCGTGGTGTATCACGGCATCCCAATACATACAAATTAATCGAACAGCAACGTATCGCACTACGCATCAGTAAGAGATATAATGCAAATCTCGTAACACTGTTGTTCTTCATATTGCCGTCCTGCTTATCTTAGCCTAGTAGCTCGTAACACGGCACAGCATAGCATGGCATTGCATAGCCCAGCAGGCCATGTCTGTGCTGGAAGTGATGCACGGGAATGATGAGCGTTCCGATTGTCGCCGTTTGCTCTCAAGCAATTTTCCACCTTGAGAGGTGGATGGCCGCGCTCGCAGGAGCATTCGCGGGCCAAGTAGTTGGCCAGGCTTTCCATTGGGGCTCGGCGGTGCTCGAGCAGGCCCTGGGCACGTGGCTCGGGTGCGGCGGGGGCGGCGCGACCAGCTGCGTGTGCAGGTTCGAGGGCGGCGGAGTCGACGCCGGCTTGATCGCGCTGCTCCAGAGGCAGCTCGAGCGGTGCGGCCCCGAGAACCTCGTACGCCAGGAGACCGCCGCGACGGGCTGGGACGCCAGTGACTGGGTGTTCGCGGCCGTGCTGATTGTGCTCGCGTTCGCGGCGGGCTTCTTAGTGCGTGGCGCTGCTGCAGAGGAACCCGGGTCATCTCGTGTCAAGTCTGTCGTTGCAGTTCTTCGTGGATCCGATGGCGCCGAAGATGTCCCGCAAGCAGAGTACCCTCGAGCGCTTGGCGCGACTGGGTAGAGTGCTCGCCTTCTACGATCTGGCCGATAACTACTTGCACGAACGCGTGCTACTGGAGCCCCTCTCTGGGACTCGCTGGATTGTGGTCACCCCGCACTTCGACCTGTACGAATAGGATCTGCACGAGGCCTTGGACTTACGGCCAGTCGGCCCCCGAGGCGGTATCGGCACTGTCTACGGGAGCGTGCTGCGCATCGACATGGACGAGTTTGAGAGACGTCAGCCCGAGTTGCTTCGTGCTGCTCGCGAGTGCGCGGAGCAGATCCGCGCCGAGGGCGGTTCGCCTGCGCTCGCCGATGGAGCGCCCCTCCCGCCAGCGGGCGCTGCGGTTGGCGTGCCAGGAGGCGCAGGGCCGCCGCCTTTGCCTCCTCCTGATGATGCGCCCGCTCGCAGCGCTGTGGAGGCCGGAGGTGCGTTGGGCGATTGGGAGGCAGCTGAGGCCCGCGTGGGGTACCAGATTGGCGACCTGATCTCCAAGGTGCGGCCGAAGGTGACGTTCGGAGATCGGGGCGTGCTCGAGCTGGCTGATGGCACCTCCTTGGCGGTGGGCCTGCCGGGCACTGTCTCTCACCCAACGCCTCGTGGGAGTGAGGACATCAGGACGCTGACTGTGAAGGTCGATGGCCTGGGCGAGCGGGGCCGACCCTTTCCCGACGCGGTCAACGCGATGCAGCTCGTGAGCGTCGAGGGCTGGCCGACTGTTGGGCCACAAACTTGTCTGTGGATTCTCATGCAGTTTGTCAAGCTGAATTTCACGCCGATGCAACGTCATCATTGGTGGCGCCAGATCCTCAGCCTATCGGTTGAGGATCCAGGTGTGGACGAGCATGCCTTTCTCAGTGAAATGCTGGAGGTCGGGTGCCAGGTGGATCAGGTTTGCCTTCCCAGCCTCGTCTTCTTCGAGATGGTGAGCAGGAGGTACCAGCTGTGGGAGGAGGTCTACAGCACGGCCTTGCGTGAGGCCGAGGGAGGAGGCGGCGCAGGAGGGTTAGCCTGGCTCGACGAACGGGAGATCTTCTTGGGGCAGCAGAGAGGGCGAGGGGCCGCCCTCGTGGCCCCTGAGCTGAAGGAGTGGGTCGCGGAGCGCTTGCAGAAGGAGGCCGCGATCCTGAAGGAGAGGCGAAAGGGGCGCGAGGAGAAGCTCTTAGCCGCTGGTGTTGCTCCCTCAGGGGCTTGTGCTCCAGCGCCTTACGCGTGCACCAGCGTGCAGGAGGGTGGCAACTCGAGTGGCCGGCCGAACCCCAAGGAGGAGCCCAAGAAGCCGAAGACGGCTCCCAAGGGCGCCAAGGGCACGAGCTAGCTCGCGCTCGTCATCTTGATCAGTGGTGACGTCTGGAGTCCCCCGGCCAGCTCGTCACAACTCTCAGGGGGGGCGCCCGTGGACTACCCGGTGCTGCAGTTTTGCATCATGGTCGTTGTTGACTCGACAGGCGATCTGCTTCCGATCCCACTGGGCGTTGGGCTGGATTACGTGCTATATGGCTCGGGACCGCTCGGGTCATCACCCTCCTTCCTGCGTCGTAGTGCAAAGCGTGATCGACAGAATCTCTGGTTGCGTGGTGGTCTTCGTAGTTTGACCGCGCTGGGAGGTCAAGGGCGACAAGTTGCGCTTGATGCGGCGCTGACAGAGGCCCAGCGCGTCGCTGTGCGCCGCCTCGCTGGCCTGTATGGTTCGGTGAGCTTCCCAGATTCGCACCGCGGTACCTATGCTTCGTGGAAGGCGTTGCAGGTGGCAGGGCAGTCTACCAGCCGGGTACGATTTCATTACCCTGTGGAGGTGCTGGCCGGATCGATTGGGTTCGATCATGCCAGAGCCGCTGCTCAAGATGCTGGAGGCTGGCCACGGCTTATTGCGCGATCCTGCTGAAGTTCACTCCTTGTTTGAATCTTGTACTGATAACTTGCGCTATCTAGACCCGAAGCTGGCACGGAGGGGCTGCGATTTTGGCCGCGCCTGGTCGGAGCTGTTCGACGCGGGTGTGGTAGAGGTAGACCCCGGGGACGCTTCGGGGGAGATCGCATTGTTTTTCGTGCGGCGCAAAGACAACAAGCTTCGCTTGATCGCCGACGCGCGTGCTGCCAACCTTCACTTCGACCCGCGCCGAGCTTGCCAGCCCCGAGGCTCTCGCCGCCATCGAGTGCGACGGGCCCGACATGATTGGGTTCTGCTCCGGAGACGTTGAGGTGTGTTTCTATCAGTGCAAGCTGCCTGCGTGGGCGAGACGGTACTTCACCTTGCCTGCGATTAAGTCTCAGTACTTGCCTGCTGCGATGCGGGGGCAACTGGGTCTGGCTCAAGGCGCGTCGGAGCTCAAGTTCAGGTTCCGCGTCGTGCCCATGGGCTGGAGCTGGGCTGTTCACTTGATTCAGCAGGTGCATCTGTACGTCATGGAGAGAGCCCTGCAGAGTGGCCGCTGGGTACTTGACAAGCGGCCTGGCGTGGACCTTCGGCAGGAGGACGCAAAGGTGCTCTACATCGATAACATCGCCGTTGCCTCGGTGGACCAGGGGCGCGCCGAGAGGGCCGTCCAGGTGATGCGTGAGGCGTTGGCGGAGCTCGGGGTGGCCAGCACCATCGAAGCGTCGGACGGCAGCAAGGCCGAGTTGCTGGGGTGCGAGCTGGACAGGAACACTGGCCACTGGCGCATCAAGCCTAAGCGATTCTGGCCGCTCATGGGTGCTCTGGACTACCTGCTGGAGGTCGAGGGCAGGAAGGTGACGGGCCATGAGATTGAGCGCGTCCTGGGGCACATCGTAGCCGCCTGCGTGCTGAGGCGGGCGGCGCTGGCCATGCTGTCCGCTTGCTACACCTTTGCAGAGACCTCAGGCCTTAAACGCCAGCCGCTGTGGGCCAGTGCTCAGCGAGAACTGTTCTGGGTGCGCTCGCTGTTGCCGTGCGTCGTCAGTGAGATGGGCAAGACCTGGGCCCAGACTGTCGCAGCTTATGATGCGTCACCTTGGGGCTACGGGGTCGTCGAGACTGAGTGGGGGCCCGGGGAGGTCGCCAGCCATGGGCGGCTGTCGGAGCGCGCCAGGTTCCGTGGGCCGCTTGCTGCCGCTGGCGCGCCACGGGATCGCACCTTGGAAGCGGAGGTGGCGCAGGCCCCAGATGCTGCCTTGATCCTGACAGGGCGGGTGTCGGAGTTCCCGGAGGTCAGCTCAAGAGCCTTGGCAGAGGCCACCTGGAGCGTGGTGGGCTGCGGCCGCTGGGGGCGGCGCGAGGCGATTCACTGTCTCGCGGCCGCCTCTGTCTGTTGGGCCGCGAGGCGCATAGCTAAGCGTGCTCGACGGCGCGGCCGGCGCCACCTCGTGCTGGGAGACAACATGTCGGTCACGCTTGCACTCGCAAAAGGAAGAGCGGCTCATCATCGTCTCCTGCTTGCTTGCCGAGCCATCTTTGCTGTCAGCGTCGCGGCCGACATTCGCTTGCATCGCCGATGGTTGCCCTCGGAGTGGGACCCCAGCGATCAGGCCTCTCGCCGTTATCAGCCGCCAGGGCTCAAGTACGAGCGTGGGCGCGGTGTGCATGGAGAGGCGGACGCTGACGGCTCGGGTGCCGCTTCCGCCGTCCACCTGGAGTTCCGGGTCAGGCCCAGCCAGCGGGGGCAGCAGACGGTCCCGCTCGGCGCGGCGCGCGACGCCAGGCTCGGGCAGCGCGGCGAGGGTGCCCACCTTGGGGTGCCTGGGCCCTGGCCGGCGAGTGTCGGGCTCGCGGCGCAGGCCTGGGCCGACCGAGCGGCGCGTCGACGCAGAGGTGCTGCGGCAGGTTGTGCAGGATCGGGGGCTTCTCTGCCCGCGGTTGCCCAGGCTGGCTGCCGAGAAGGTCAGGCTGAAGACTCGGGCGATCTTCCTGGGCGTGCTGAGGGCCTTGCTCGCTTGGCTCCGCCTGGGCTGCCTCCCGGACTGGTCGCGCGAGGACTGGGATTGCACGCTGGTGGAGTTCGTGGAGTGGCTCTTCGACAAGGGCGGGGCGGCTGCAACGGCGAAGCTGGTCGGGCCCGCTCTGCTGTGGGGAGACCCGCGTCTTGCCTTGGGCTCGCTGCGCGCCACCTTCCCCGTCCTGCAGCAGGCGCTGAAGGGCTGGGTTCAGCAGCGGCCCGAGTTGTCGCGCCCCCCGCTGCCCTGGGTGGTGGTGGCCGCTGCGGCCCGAGAGTTGCTCGACCTCAACATGGGCATGGCTGCGCTTGGGATCATGCTAATGTTCGAGACTTACATGCGCCCTTCCGAGTTGCTGGCGCTCTCGACCGACCATGTGGTGCTGCCGCTTCCAGGCGAGTCGGGGGCCGCCCGCTGGCTGACCTTCGTCATTCGGGCCCAGGAGGCGCTGGTACCATCCAAGATAAATGCCTTCGACATCAGCGTCCCGCTGGACTTGGAGAGACAGCGCTGGCTTGCCCGCTGCGTGGAGGTAGTGGCGCGCCGCCGCGGCTCGGGCAGCTCGCTCCTCGGCCTGGTGTGCGCGGACTTCGCCGCAGCCTTCAAGACGGTCTTGAAAGGAGTTGGTGCCTCGGTGCTGCAGGGCGCGCTCTACTCGCTCCGCCATGGCGGCGCCAGCCACGACCGGAGCATGGGCGCCGGGTCATTGGCCGCCGTGCAGCAACGCGGCGGCTGGCGCGCGTTTCGGAGCGTCACGCGGTGCGAGAAGCACGGTCGCCTGGGGCTCGAGCTGCAGAAGGTGGAGCCGACACGCCTTGCGGCAATGCGGCGCAGGTCGGCTGGTATCGAGCTCGCCTTCGAGAGGTACTTCGGGCTGCGCTGAGATCCTCGCGCTGCCGACGCTCGAAAGTAATCGCGGAGGTCTTCTCAGGCTGTGGCGAGCTCAGTCGGCGCCTTCGCGTCAGAGGTGAAGCCGCGATAGAGTGGGGCACGAAAAATGGTGAATACTTCAATCTTCTCATTCCCGAGGTATGGCACGTCTTGAGAGGCTGGATCGTTTCAGGAATCGTGAAAGCAGTGTGGATCGGCACACCCTGTGAGGGCTACACTCGTGCGCGTAGAGCCCCACCGCATAGTCGCATGCCCAAAGCAATTCGCTCGCCTGAGTTTCCTCTTGGGCTCCCTGGTGTGTCAGGTAGGGACCTCGAGCTTTTGATTATTTCGAATCGTCTTGGAGCCATTGCGGGTGAATTGCAACGTTTGTGCATTCAGCGAAACATTCCTGGTGGGGGGGAACCCGTGGCAAAGTTTCCTGCGGCTTCGCCCCGATAGAGTTTCGCTTTGGGAGTCTGGCTTTCTCGAGGAAAGAATTGTAGACGACTGTGCGTGTGGTAGGTCTTTCAGAGGACGCACTCGTTTACGTTTTTGGTGCTGCCGTCCAAATCCTGGTTTCGATAATCTGGTTTGTCGAGGGCCTCGGGGCCTCTGTGAGTTCACTGGGATACCCCATGTCGAGCTAACTGGCAAGGCTAATGGGCAGTTTCTCACGAAGTTGAAGAGTGCCTATCCTGCCCTTCTCTGTTCCTTCCTCGCTTCTACTCTTCACCAAAGTAGGTCCCAAAAAGAGATTACAAGAGCCTGGCAACTTTATAAGTAAGCGATGTTCAGTGCAATGCTTGGTGGCGGGATGTCCTTTTTGAAGAGTGGAGTTATCGTTTGATCTGAGCGCCGTGGCCTTCAGTGTAAAGCAGTGCCCCGGCGGATGTCCTGCTTTGCCCCAAGCAAGTCACTGACTAGAAAAAGCGATCAAGGAAGTGACGCGCGGGAATGATGAGCGTTCCGATTGTCGCCGTTTGCTCTCGCGAAATTTTCCACCTTCCCGAGGCCAGCCCACAGCCTCGGAGGAGAATTGTTCTGTCTAGTTAGCTGAGTTATCGTTTGATTCGAGCGCCGTGGCCTTCAGTGTAAAGCAGTGCCCCGGCGGATGTCCTGTGTTGCCCCAAGCAAGTCATTGACTAGAGATAGCGATCAATATCATGCAACGCGGTAGCATCGCTTATCGTAGGAAACATAACATGATACGTCTCATCGTGCCATCGTTTATAGTATCGCGGCCTTTCACAGCACAGCATGTCATAGCATGCAGTGCGTGTTGTAGAGTATATCATGCTACCGCATTGATGCTGCATAGTGACGTTGCGCTTTATAGCGTATCGTGAAGTCTCATGGCGTTCCGTAGCATAGTCCAACATGGCGCTGTAGCGCTGTATTTTTCCAGGCCCATAGCTTGGCGATCGCGGCGATCGTTCACCGATCCGACCGGTCGGTAAGAGCGGAGGAGGAAGGATGAGGAAGAGGAAAGAGGAAGCAGGGAATGTGGACCACATGATTCATGACCGCTTTTTTTGCTTCCAGTGCGGTCAGCACTGGAACGACTAGAATCTAAGCGCGCGCAAAGCGCGCGCGTGGTTCTAGTGTATATGTGCATATGTGTAGACATACCATATAAGAGGCTGTGCGTTCAACGGTGGTATGTCGAAATCCTTGGATTCCAATATACTTCGAGGTGCTTCCTGTTACATAAATTGATTGGATTTTCTTTGGCCTTTTTTTGGGGGGTGGGGGGGCCGGTCTACATACGCCTCTTTTCGGCCTTCCTGTTTCTACGTACGTCTTCCGAGAGGCCTGTACATAAAGAAATGCAGCGCGTTATGCACCGAGAGGACCTTCGTGGACCTCGACGATGACCAGATGAGGGCTCTGATCGTCGACATGCTGCGCGGTGGCAGCAACGCCCACTACGTCCTCGACCCGACGGCAGACACCTCCACGAAATTCGTCCGGAAGGAGGCCGTGAGCGCCAGGAGTCGCCATGAAGCCAAGGGATCCCGAGGGAGCGGGCCCCCGAGTGTTTTTCACTGCCCCCCGTCCTCTCGGGGGCCCTGCCTCCGCGGACGGCCCGCGTGCACCGCACCCCGTGTGCGAGGGGCCCGGAGGGAGGCCAGAAGACATGGTGCCGTGCGTGGGCGCCGTTCTCGGGTGCCCAGGGTCTGGAGAGAGGGGCGGCTCGGGGTGGAGAGCTGAAAGCCCCCGGGAAAGCCCTCGGGACCCCGTGCTCTCATGCCGAGAGGAGCCTCTCGGACCCCGTCCCGAAGCAGCACTCGCACGTGCTCGGGCGGATAGAGCACCTGCAAGGACAGGTCGCCAGGCTCCACGATGCACAGGACGCCATATCGCAGAAGGTCGATCGCGTCATCAGCGCCATCGGCCACCGAACGAACGGCCGTGCAAGCAAGCTCCTCTTCGCTTAAGGCGAATCGAGTACCGAGATGAAGCTCTCGGAAATGGCTTCTTCAGGCTAACGCCGCCCGATTCCCGCGAAAGGAGGATTGTGGTTGTTGCTGCTGCTGCTGTTGCTGTTGCTGTTGCTGATTCTGTTGTTGATGATGATGCTGGTGGTGGTTGTGGTGATGATGATGATGCTGATGATGATATGGCTGCTGCTGCTGATGATGATGAGGATGATGATGCTGTTGATGACGAGGATGATGCTGATACTGATAACGATGTTGATGCTGCTTCCGATGCTGATGATGATGATGATGATGATGATGATAATGATGATGATGATAATGATGATGACGATGCCACTGACGATGATGCTGATGTATATGATGATGACGATGCAGATGATGCTTATGATAGTTATGGTGATGCTGATGCTGATGCTGATGATGATTGCGATGATGCTGATGATGAGGATGAGGATGAGGATGCTGATGCTGCTGCTACTGATGATGATGATGATGATGTTGATGATAATGATGACGGCGATTCTGATGATGCTGATGAGGATGATGACGATGCTGCTGCTGATGATGATGATGATGGTGATGCTGCTGCTCATGGCGATGATGGTGATGACGATGACGATGACCATGTTGGTGATGATGGTTGCGATGCTAATGCTAATGTTGCTGATCATACTGATTATGATGATGGCGATTGCATCATGGCGCTGGTACTGATCATGATGATGGTGATGATGGCGACATCGACGATCATGATGAGGTTGTTGATGTTCTTGGTGGTGATGATGACGATGATGCTGCTGATGATGATGATAATGGTGGTGGTGGTGGTGATGATGATGCTGCTGCTGCCGATGTCAATGATGCTGCTGCTGTTGATGATAATGCTGATGGCGACGACGCTGACGATTCCGCTGACGATGATGCTGTTGTTGTTGGTGATGCGGTTTGCGATGGCGGTGATGGTGCTATCGACGACGATGATGCTGCTGATGACGAGGATGATGAGCATGATAATGGCGACGCCGAGGCATCTGAATTTGATGATGACGATGATGATGAAGGGGATGATGTTGATGAGGATGACGGCGATAACTATGATGATGACGATGATGGCGACGGCAATGGCGATGATGATGCTGCTGCTGCTGATGATGATGATGATGATGATCATGATCATGATGATGATGGTGACGATCATCATCATTATCATGAAGATGGCGATGATGAGGAGGACGAGGATTAGGATTAGGATGAGGATGAGGATGAGGATGATGATGGTGATGATGATGATTATGATGACGATGGTGGTGGTGGTGATGATAATGATGATGCTGATGATGCTGATTGTGCTAATGCTGATGATGATCATCATGATGACGATGACGATGACGATAGTGATGAGGAGGATGAGGATGAGGACGAGGATGAGGATGATGATGAAGATGAGGATGATGATGATGATGATGATGATGATGATGATGATGTTGGTGGTGGTGATGATGGCGATGGTGATGATGATGCTGATGATGATGATGGTGATGCTGCTGATGATCACGATGATGATGATACTGCTGCTGCTGATGATGATGATTCTGATGACGATGAGATGATGATGTTAAAGGTGATGCTGATGATGACGCTGATGCTGCTTCGATGATGATCATGATGATGATGCTGGTGCTGATGATGATGCTGCTGATGATGATGCTGCTGCTGATGATGATGGTGGTGGTGATGATGACGATGATTATGATGATGATGATGATGATGATGATGATGATGATGATGATGATGATGATGATGATGATGATGATGATGATGATGATGATGATGATGATGATGATGTTGATGATGTTGGTAACGGCGATGGTATTGGTGATGATGCTGAGATGATTACGCAGGCAATTTCGATGGGGATGCTGATTCCGACTGGTGCTGTTGTTGCTGCTGCGGTTCTTGATGCTGTTTGATCATAATTTTCGGAAGAATTGATATGAGGCACTCTCGACGGGGGGGTGGCCCTGGGGAGGACCCGTCAGAGCGGACCGAGGGTAGCGCAGGCCAGCGTGAACGGGAGCCTCAGTAGGCATCTTGGCTCAAGCACCGAGTTAAGCTGCCAGCGAGGACCCCCTGTCGCTGCGCGGCGCCTATGCCAGGGCCGTGGGGATCAGCGGAGGCGGACCTGGAGTTCGCGGCGGCGCAGCGCCTCTGGGCGGGCAGCTTCGTCGAGATCTGGTGCTACGACAACGACGGCGACGACCAGGGGGCATCGATCCTGTGCCTGGAGGGCAGCGGCAAGGGATGGGGATAAGATGCCGGTTCAGAATGTGGCCGACACCTATTGGGCGGCCAAGTAGGAGGCGGTGGGGCAGTACCACTTCTGTCGCGGTCGCGGGTCGCGTTGCCGGACAACAGATGTCGTCGCCCACGTCGAGTCCGTTTGGGAGCTTCGACCGAGGACTTGCAGGAGGGCGTCCTCAAGTGGGTCAGGGGACCAGCCAGGAAGGTCATCGAGAAGTTTTTGGAGGTGCTGCCTGACCCCAGGCGGGGCGGGGAGGCTCCGCTTGAGTGGGGAGGCAGCACAGGCGGGCGAGGACGACGTGCATGACGTCCCGCACCAGCTCGACAGGGGGAAGACCTCTTCGAGCCCGACGAGGCCAAGCGACGCTGGGCCGTCCCCGCCAGGGCTGTGGGCTGCATGCCGGCTTCGGGCTGACTCGCCGACCTCTTGCTTGGGAGCGGGCCATGTCCCTGTCCCCGCGCCTGCTGCTGTCTGCGGAGGCACCTCGCTGTCCGAGCTTGTGACTGGGTCATGGCGCGCCAGGTTTGTCTTCTTGCGCGCGCAGCGCTCAGGTAAGGCTGGGCGTCTATCCACTTCCGGCTCAGCGCGCTACGGGTGCGCCCCGGCCGCGCTGCCGGCGAGCCTTGGCGATCGAGCTCGATCCTCGCAGGGGAAGGGGGCGCCGGGGTGAAGAACCTGAGCCCGGGGGTGGCCGACGAGGGTGGAGGTGTGTTGCTGTCCCAGACGCCTGAGGTGGCTCCAGCACGCTCTGCGGGGTTACTGGGGTAGCTCCGTGGCTGCTTGGGGAAGTGCCTGCTCGCATCGCGTCGCTGGCAGACGAAGGGGGGCGAACGGGGGCGAGGAGACTTCTCCGAACCAGCTGACGGATGGCTTCGCTGTTCTGTTCGTCCGCCGACGGTTGTCCGAGTGCACCCTGGGCCGTGGGGGCTAGGGCCGCACTAGGGTAGCAGCTGTCGTCTTGGTCAGGGGCGGAGTCTTGGCCAGGGTAGCAGCTGACGGTTGCAGGCGCCAAGTGAGGTCCATCAGGGGGTAGCTGCCACTGATGCTGTTCCTGCTCCTGCTGCTGCTGAAGATATTCCTGCCCCTCCAGCTTCTGGCTCTCCTCCCGCAGCTGCTCCTCCGCGGACAGTTCGGCCTGCAGCTCGGATGCCTGCTGCCGGAACTGCTCTGCCTCTGTGGCCGCCGCTGAGCCGACGGCCTCCCGCCGCTGCTCTCCCGCGGACGGTTTGGATTGCAGCTCGGGCACCTGGTGCCTGAACTGCTCTACCTCTGTGGCCGCGGCAGAGCCGACAGCCTCCCGCAACTGCTCCTCAGCGGACAGCTCGGCCTGCAGCTCGGACACCTGCTACTTGGCCTGCTCTGCTTCTGTGGCCGCGGCAGAGCCTACGGCGTCCCGGTGCTGCTCCTCCGCGGACAGTTTGGCCTGCAGCTTTGACGCTTGCTGCCGGGACTGCTCTGCCTCTGTGGCCGCAGCAGAGCCGACCGCCTCCCGGTGCGGCTCCTCCGCGGACAGTTTGGCCTTCAGCTCGGGCGCCCGCTGGCCCGCCAGCCCGGGAGGCGGGTCCATTTCGCGAACTGAAGGCGGCCTCGACGCACCGCCTTTGCCTGCGCTCTCGATCAATGGCGCGAGCATGCGGCGCTGCGCTGGCTAGATCCAAAACAGATTTGTCGCATGGCAACAATACTGCAAAATCGGATGCTTTGCCGATGCCCAACACCTGAACAGTATGATGCGCGACGTGATCCAGATCCCAGAAGCGGAGAAGGTCGAGAACATCCATCAGGACCTGACCGGAGCCACAAGGCGTGTCAGGTGGTCTGGCCTGCAGTGCACGGCGAAGCCTTTCCCTCCTATGCTTGGACAGCGTCACAGTCTTTCCCTGCGCAGGTTCGTCATGAAGTGCCTCTAGAATGGTGCTGTCAGCCCCGCCGGGGCGGCTGCCCCAGTTGCCGTCGCTGCCGTCGCGTCCGCCACTGCAGTTCGAGGCCGCTGGGCAGTCGGGCGGCTGGACAGCTGCCGGGGTCAGCCCTCAGCCCAGGAGGCGCGTCCATCGCCGGCGGAGCGCGCAATCCTGAATAGGGGCGTGCTCGAGCCGAGGCGGCTTGAGCCAGGGGCTTGAGCCGTCTCGGCTCGAAATCGCGCTCTCGCGCGTGAGGTCCTCACAATTTATGCAGGAATCGCGCTCTCGCGTGGGACTTCCTCGCAATATGTCCGTAAGGGTTTCTTCCCCATGCCGCAGGCCCCCCTCTCTTAGAATGGGACTTGCCAGACCTGCGTTGGGATGTCTGGACGCTGACGTGAAGTGATGTCGGGACTTCACGCGAGGGTCAAGATTAATTTACGCGGGGTTATGGCTTCGGCGGCGCGAATATCAAGTAATTTACGATGGTTTATGGTTTCGGGGTCGCGGATATCGCGTAATTTACAAAGTTTTGTGGCTTCGGGGACGCACATACCGCGTTATTTACGAACGTTTATGGCCTCGGGGGCGCAACTATTGTATAATTTACGAGGGTTTATGGCTTCGGGGACGCGAATCTTGTTTAATTTGCGAGGGTTTGTGGCCTCGGGGACGCAAGCATGGTGTAAATTAAAAAGATCTATGGCCCTGGGAAAGCGAATATGTTTCTAATTTTCGAAGGTTCATTGCTTCGGGGGTGCGAGTATTTTGTAATTTACAAACAGGTTTCTGGC